TAGTAATATGTTTAACACTTTCTGATTATTCACAATTATTAATTTATCTATAAATATTTATTATTATTATTTATTATTATTAATTATTATTATTTGTTATTATTTAATTGTTATTATTTAATTTATTAATATTAATATATTATTATTTGTTATTAATTTGTTGGATGCAGTAATAAATTAAACAAACAAAAAAACGCAAGTTAAATAAACACAAATAAATAAATAAAATAAATAAATAAATTAATTAATTAAATTAATTAATTAATTAAATAAATAGATAAATAAATAAATAAATAAATAAATAAAGTTTGTTGCGGTGTCTGCTGCAGACGAAGAATTTATTAATATTATGCGACGCAATCGGCAGTTTAGCAGAAGGCGTAGGTGTTTGTTTTTGCTGCTCTGAGGGTTTAGAGTTATTTACATTTATTATAAAGCTGTGGGAGCAAACAAAGCAAGGAAATCCGCTCTGTCTCTCTTTAACAGAGACTGTCGGTTGTGTTGCTGCTGCTATGCAGTCAGGTATATCAATACTACTACTACACTCACTTTTGTTGCTGCTAATAATCCTCTGGATTGCTGCTGCTGATTATGCTGCTGCTGCTGCTCTGTGTTGCTGCTGATGGTGCTCTGGGTTGCTGGTGCTACTGCTGCTGCTGCTGCTCTCTGTTGCTTCTGATGATGCTCTGTGGTGCTGCTGCTGCTCTTTGTTGCTGCTGCTGCTGCTCTTTGTTGCTGCTGATGCTGATCTTTGTTGCTGCTGATGCTGATCTTTGTTGCTGCTACTGATCCTCTTTGTTGCTGCTGCTGCTGCTCTTTGTTGCTGCTGCTGCTGCTCTTTGTTGCCGCTGCTGCTGCTCTTTGTTGCTGCCGCTGCTGTTGCTGCTACTGCTGCTAATACCTTTAATACTTTTACTAAGCATAATAACTAAACAATAATTAATTAATTAATTATTTAATTAATTATTATTATTATTTGTTTAGGTTTTGCGCCCTACGCTCCGACTGCACTCGCTCTGTGCCAGCAGCGCATTGCGGAGACACTGCAGCAAATCGAAGCAGCAGAGAGAGGAGACACTGTAAGCTGTATATTTATATTTATATTTATATATTTATATTTATATTTATATATTTATATTTATATTTATATATTTATATATTTGTTATTAGTTTATTGTTTTGTTTTTATTTTATTGTTTTTATTGATATACTTATTTTTATTTTTGTCGCTTTTGTTTGTCTTATTGTCTCCTTCTTAACTTTTATTTATTTATTTATTTGTTTTATTTATTCTGTTTATTTATTTGTTTTGCTTGTTTATTTATTTATTTATTTAGTTTTTGATTTCTCTGCTTTTTCTTTGTCTCCTCCTGTCTCTTGTTATATCTTTTTGCTGCTGCACTTGCTGCTGCTGCTGCTGCTGCTGTTGCTGCTGTTTTTGTGTCCCTTTGTTTTTATTTTTTATGTTTTATATTTTTGTTTTGTTTATTCTTTTGTTTACTTTTTCTTTACTTTTAAAATTGTTTTGCTTTCTTTTCTGTTTATTCTCCTTATTCTTTTTAACTTATTTTATTTATTTTATTAATTTAATTTAATTAATTTAATTTAATTTAATTTAATTTAATTTAATTTGTTTTATTTATTTTATTTGCAGGATGCCTGGCCTGACAGAGATACACTCGAATGCTCGCTGGATGTGTTAAGCTCAGTTGCAGAGAGTTTAGGAGAGCAGCTGCTTCCTTTGCTGCAGCAGCAGCAGCAGCTGCTGCTGCTGCTAGAGCGTTGCTGCAGCGACAAGAGCCCTTCTGTGCTGCAGTCAGCTCTAGCGTTAGTAGGAGATCTTGCGAAGCATTGTGCTGTCGTACCTCGGCCCGAAGTTATCTTTCCGCTTGTATGTCTCTTCTTTTATTTATCTGTCTCTTTCAATTTATCTCTCTCCTTTGTCTGTCTCTATTAATTATCTGTCTCCTTTTGATTGTCTGTCTCTATTAATTATCTGTCTCCTTTTGATTGTCTGTCTCTTTCAGTTTATCTGTCTCTTGCAATTTGTCTGTCTCTTTCAATTTGTCTGTCTCTTTTAATTTAACTGTCTCCTTTTAATTATCTGTCTCCTTCATTTTATCTATCTCTTTTAATTATCTGTCTCTATTAATTATCTGTCTCCTTCAGTTTATCTATCTCTCTTAATTATATATCTCTTTCAGTTTATCTGTCTCTTTTATTTATCTGTCTCCTTCAATTTATCTATCTCTTTTAATTATCTATCTCTTTCAGTTTATCTACCTCTTTTAATTATCTGTCTCTTTTAATTATCTGTCTCTATTAATTATCTGTCTCCTTTTAATTATCTGTCTCCTTTAATTCGTTTATTTAATTGTCTCTTCTGATTATTTTAATTTAATTTTATTTTATTTTGTTGCTCTGTCTCTTTTTAGTCTATCTTTTTATTATCTGTCTCCTTTTATTATTATTTTATTTAATTATTTTATTTAATTGTTTAATTATTTAATTACTTTTTATTTAGTTGTCTCCTTTCATCTGTCTCCTTTTATATTATCAGCAATTTATTATATCTTTTTGCTGTCTCTTATTATTATTATCTCCTCATGTTGGCTGCTGCTATTACTACTGCTGCTGCTGCTGCTACATCTGCTGCTACTGCTGCTACTGCTGCTGCTTCTGCTGCTGCTACTACTACTACTACTGCTGCTGCTTCTGCTGCTGCTGCTGCTACATCTGCTGCTGCTTCTGCTGCTTCTGCTACTTCTGCTGCTGCTACTACTACTACTCCTCCTACTGCTGCTGCTGTAACAGCTGCTGCTGCTGCTGTTGTTGTTGTTGTTGTTTGTGCTGCAGCTGCAGCAGCATTTGCTGCACGGTTCGATATCTGTAGTAAATAACGCAGGCTGGGCGTTAGGCGAGCTGTCTCTTCGAGTGTCTCCTGAGGTTTTGTCTCCTTTTGCGGTCCCTCTGTCTTCGCTTCTTATTTGTATTATTCATAAACAAGACATGCATAAAGCGCTGCTGCAGAATGTCGCCATTACCCTGGTCAGCATACACTCAAACTCCTGCTGCTGCTGCTGCTGCTGCTGCTGCTGCTGCTCATCCTCCTGCTGCGGCGGCTCGTGCTGCTGCTGCTGCTCATCCTCCGGCTGCGGCGGCTAATGCTGCTGCTAGTGGTGATGCTGCTGCTGCTGCGGCTCATGCTACTGCTGCTTCTCATCCTCCTGCTGCTGCTGCTCATCCTTCTGCTGCTGCTGCTCATCCTCCTGCTGCTGCTGGTGGTGCTGCTGCTGCTTATGCTGCTGCTGTTGATGCTAGTGGTGATGCTGCTGTTTATACTGTTGCTGCTGCTGCTGCAGCACTTGTTGCTGCTGCAGCTGCTGCTCTTTTCTGTCTCCTTTTGCTACTGTTTGCTTATGCGTCTTTCTTCTTTCTGCTTTTATGTGTGCGGCGTAACAAGGGTTGCTTGAAGGTTGATGGTTTAGGGTTTAGGGTTTAGGGTTTAGGGTTTAGGGTTTAGGGTTTAGGGTTTGTGGATCAGGGTCGTTTGGCTGGGGTTTGTCCCTCTGCTTTGTCTCCTTTGCTTCCTGACTTTTTGTCGCGGTGGTGCGTCTTGTCGAGGACAACTAAGAATGATGCTGATAAGGCGGGAGCATTCAGAGGTATGCTGCTGCTGCTGCTGCTGCTGCTGCTTATGCTGCTGCTGCTTATGCTGCTGATGCAGGTTATGCTGCTGATGCTGCTGTTGCTGCTAGGGGTATTGGTTGTATGCTTAGAGTGTATTATTAGGGTTTAGGGTTTTGATTAGGGTTTATAAGGTGTATAAGTGCATTGAGGGTTTACAAACCCTTATAAACCCTTATTAAGGTTTTTTTAATGGTTTATGATTGTTTATGAGGGTTTATTAGGGTTTATTAGGGTTTACAATGGTTTATGAGGGTTTGCAATTAGGGTTTATGAGGGTTTACAACTAGGGTTTATGAGGGTTTATACAGTTAGGGTTTACAATTAGGGTTTACGATTGTTTATAGAATGAGGGTTAATAGAATTAGGGTTTATGAGGGTTAATAGAATTAGGGTTTATGAGGGTTAATAGAATTAGGGTTTAGGATGATTGTTTGCGATATATTTGCAGGGATATGTCTGCTGCTGCAGAGACAGCCGACAGCAGCAAAAGACTGTCTCCTCGAGTTTATTTTTGCTGTCTTAGCATTTCAACAGGCACCGCAGCAGTTAGAACAAGAATTTACTACAACCCTTCATTGTAAGGTTTATTTATTTATTTATTTATTTATTATTTATTTATTTATTTATTTATTTATTTATTTATTTATTTATTTATTGTTTTGTTGTCTTTTTTTTGGTTTTTATGTTTGCTCGTTTTATTTTGTTTTTGTGTTGTTTAGAACAACAATTTATTAATAATCTTTATTCTTAAACTTATTTGTTTATTTATTTATTTATTTATTTATTTATTTATTTAT